AGGTGAGCCTATGGAGTGGGCTTTGCTGTCTTACAGGAAGACAGTGTTGCTGGGGGGATGGGGGCACTGCTCAGAGATGAGAATCCACCTGCCCGTGCAGTCCTGGATAGAGCCGGTAGGCCAGGGTGTCCACAAGGACCAAGGAGATGGTCGCCTGGACAGGGTGAGTTGGGAGTCCCCTGGGCTTATGCTGTACCTTGGAAGATGTCTTACTTTTCCGCAGGTTAATAACCACATGGAGTTATCCCTCAGGTCAAAACAACATGTGTCCAGGTTCCCTTCAACATTTAGTTAATGAAAGACAAAAGCCAGTGTATCCAGGGCAGATATCCATCTGGACGTTCAAGTCCTGAATCCTTCCCTACCCGTGGATAAAGAGCTGCTGCCCTAGCCCCTCCCAACCCCATGCCTCTCCTGATGCTGCCTCATCCTTCCCCAGGGCTCCAGCCCTCCCCATACTCCAGGGACTCAAGGGTTAATCCCCCGTGTTGCCAGGGGTCCTCCAAGACCCTGCTCCAGTTCTGATTGGTTGCTGTTCCCACCAGGTTAAATATTTTAGCTGTCACTTCCAGTTGTAGCCCAAAATGGTCCATTTGAAGGTTCCCGTTTTAGCTGAAAAATGATGGCAAATGTTGTATTCGATGCCATAATTTACCCGTATTTGTATTCATACGAAAGCAGTGTTTTAAAACACTATCTATCAAATAAAAATATTGCTCCAAGAAGACATACAACCATCACCCTGTGGCTCTGCAGCTTCCAGCACGTCGCTGGGTACTTCCCAGGTCGTTAGCGAGCCCAGCTTCCCAGGATTCCCAGAACCCAGGATCCCAAACGCTGCCTCAGAGCCTCACTGCTCGACCCTGCACATGGCACCTAGAAGTCAAAGCCAACTCCGGCCCTCAGCCAGCGGTGCCCAAACTCCGGTTCTGGTAAAACCCAGCTCCTGCTCCCTGCCCGCTGCCCTGGCTGCTTCTCCCGGTCGCCCCAGCTGATCAGGGCTCATTTTCATTTTCTGTCCCTCAAATCCGCTCGTGCCTCTCCACCTCGAGGCCATTGCTCATGCTGTTTCTGCCAGCAGGACTTCTCTTTCCCTCCACACGGGCATCAAAGTCAAGCTCAAAGCTACATCATCCCCTCCAGAGCAGACCCCCGGGCTATGATCGCGTCCCCTCCCTTCTTCTCTCCCCCACCCCTTCCTATCCAGCATTATAGTTATTTACATTCATCTTTTGAACTTGACTCTGAGCTCCTTGAAGGAGGGCCATATGGTATTGATCTTTCTCCTCCGCGTAGTATCCAGACACGGAGCAGCAGGCTGGAAATGTTTGTTCGATAACTGAAGTGCAGCACTCGATTTTTCTAACCTGGCATTGGTGAATTAGGTGTTCAGTTCAGGAGACAGGACAGAGAGATCATGGGCCAGGCCAGGAGAGGGTTAGGCACAGGTGGGGCCCTAAACTGCCATAAGTCAGTGCCAGGGCATAAGGAGCAAACTCCACCTGTGTCACAGGTTCCAAGTGGCATCTCGGTCATAACTTCAGGCTCTAGAGCCACACTGCCTACCTGGGTTGGAAACCTGCCCCGGTAGTGATAAGTCCTGGGAAAGGTTCTGAACTAACTGGTCATGCTCCTCATCTGAAAGGTGGGGACAGTGCTAGTGCCTGCCACACTGCTGTGTGCCAGAGGATTGAGGGGTGAGCGTATGTGACAGCGGCTGACCATGGAGATCACGCCGTGCCTATGAGGCAACCTGAGGGCTGGTCCTAACCCAGGACCCCCTCCGTGAGATGGGTCTCCCTCGTTCCTTCAGGATTCAGACACCATCACGGTGACATTCTCTTCCACCTCTGCAAGCCTGGATGCCAACTTTAGGATGCTTTTCACATTCTCAGACTAAGTGTGCTGGACGCCAAGGTAGCTTCTAGAAGCCGGGCTTATGTTACCAGCGGTGTGGGGTGTTTCAAAAGTTAACAAAAAGGACAAAGCTGAATACGCATCTCAGTGCCTACCAGCTCCAATTTTTTTTTCACCCTGACCAAAAAATGATCTCTTTACTTTTCTTATGCTAACTAACATTTTGAACAATTAGAGATTAATTCCATTTAGTGAACTTTCAACAGCAATAAGAGGAAGGGGTGGGGAAAAAAGGAGGGAAGAAAGGAAAAGAGAAGGATGTAATTTTAGCAAAACCCCCAGCAGTCATTCATAATTCAGTGTGAATTTGTTAAGTTGGGTCGCCTTTCTGACACTTATCTGATACCAATCCACTTGGAAAACAGCCGTGTGGGTGGACTGGGATTCAAAATGGGAAAAGGCAATTTCAGAGTATGTTCAGGAAGAACAGGCCTGGGTGGAAGAGCCAGAGTCCAGTAACAGACCAGCATCCAAAGAGCAGCAGCAATTAACCGAATCCCAGAGGAAGGTACAGTTAGAGGGACAAAAGAAAGGTCAGAGAGGAGCGCTGAAGAAATATTTTGCCTCTTGAAGTGTAGCCTACTTGTTGCTTTGTATGTGGAGGTCAGTAGGCGCCATGGCCCACGGCCATCCGGCATTTCCAGTGCCGCAGGGTTGGTGACACTCTTGCATCTCCAGGGTACTTGAGCAGGAGCTGGGAGGAGGCTGCAGCAGCTGGCTCTCAGGTCTGCCCTCCTCACTCCCTACCTCTGCCTGTGATAGGGGGAGCAGCGCTCTCTCCATGATCCTCAGAGCCCATGCACCAGGCAGACTTAGGGAGAAGTTGCCTTTGACTCCATCATCTCCCCACGACCCCTCTCCCTGCTCTCTAGCAGAGTAGGGCACTTCCAAATCCTTCCACACCATGTCTATAGCAGACAGTTTTCTTGGTGACACAAAGGTAGTCACTACAACAGATTGTCCAACTTCAGCCCCCATCGCCCACTTCACTGTTCTTGTTAGAGAAGATGATTTAGACAGGTGATGATTCATCGGGGAACCAGAGGTGGAGTACTCTAAGACAACATCTGGCCCCATGGCTCCTTTAACTGACAATGAAGCTAAGACACAGAGAGGTCATGGCTCCTCCAATGTCATACAGAAAATTGGGGGTAGAGCCACACCTAGAACCCCAGTAGCTGACTCCCAGCCCCCCTAAACACGATCATGGCTTTTGTGGTAGAGTGGGGAGCCCTGGCTAGGGCTGCACTGGAGCGTCCAGCATCCTTGGTGGTGGGGATCCTCTCCCTAGCTGCGGCTGCCTGGGCCTATCTCTATAAGCATTGAGGATGCTTTAGGCTGCAAGTAACAGACAGCCTCACCTTGACTGGCGTTGGCCAGGGAGATTCATGATCTCCCATGACAGGAGGCCCCAGAGTAGCATGGCTGCCATCGGTGGGCCTGTCAATGGCTCCATGGGTCATCCTGCTCCTCCCTCCTTCCCAATCCTTCTTCAGCAGGTTGGGCCAGCTTCCCTCCTGATGGGGAGATGACTGCTGGGGCTCAGCGGTCCTCCTCTAGGCCTGACACCACCACACCATGGGAGGCAAGCGGTGTCCTCCCCGGCGTCTCTTTTGTCTCCCTGCAGAATTCTCTCCTCTAATTGGTCAAGATTAGATTATTTGCCTTTTTTCTAAACCAGTGACTGGCAAAGGCAACAGAGTTACTAGAATTGGTTTAAACTAATTGGGTTTACCATCAGGGAAGGGTTGACACCCAAACAAACATCAGGAAGATGATGACAGTGGGCAGACTTTCCCTAGTCCCCGCCACCTTTGATCCTCTGCTGAGAAGTGTGTCACTCAGAACATGGACCCTGGAGCTTCATGGCCAAGTTCAAATTCTCCCTCTGCTACTTGCTATCTGTGTGATCTATAACAAGTTACTTCCCCTCTCTGTGCCTTTCATTCCTTGGGGTAATAGAACAGACTCTCCTGGTGCTATAAAGCCAATATCAGTTATTATATGTAAAATATGCAAATATCTAGAACAGGTAAGAGGCTGGCTCATGGTCAGTGTCATGCAGGGAGTTACCCTGTTACATAATCCCCTTTCCATTTTACAAGAATAAACACAAACACACTCTCACAACCCATGTGCCGAACATCACCGCCCCAGGACTCTCATCACTATTCCAGAAATGACCTGCGTTTTTCAAACCGTGGGGCCTCACATATGCCAGCCTTTCCACTTGTGAAGATAAACTTCCCACCATCTTTCCTGTTGACATTTAAAAGCCCGCTCAACACCACCTCCTCCATAAACTTTCCCTGATCCCTCCTGGTTGGCATTGATCGCTTCTCCAGCCCACCCTAGGTCCCTCCCCTAAGCCCTCAATCCTGGTACCTTGCTTCATGGTTCTGAGGGGGATGTCTGCCTCCTTTCTTAGACTAGGAATGCCTTTAGGGCAGAAATCCACCTCGGCCCTCTCTGTGACCTCTCTTTGGGAAATAAGACAGCGGCCTCTGTATTGCATATTCTCAGTGAATGCTGATGGAGTTGCATGGAATTGAATCAAAATATATAGCCTCTGCCCTCAAGGAGTTTACAGTCTAGTTGGAAACAGGATGGACACATGCAGGACACTTGGCCACATAAGCACCCCCATTAGGGACCTGGCACCCCAGCACACCACGCCCCCTCCATCCCTCAACCCCTTGCCTTTGCACATACTGTTCCTTTGATCTGGATGATCCCTCCTCGCGCCCAGGATCCTCTGCATCAGGAAAGTCCCACCGTGTCTACTCCAGCAAGCCTCTGCTGCGAAGACCCTGGTAGTGACACTGCCCACCCACTCTGAGACTTCTCGATTTATTATGGCACTCAGCACGCGCCCTAGGTCTGCCGACCTCTCCCTCCCCTGCCCTCCTGGGCGGCTGGGACCTTGTCTTTCCTCCTAGCATCCCCACGCCCAGTGCAGCACTTGGCCATCCGCGAGTGCTCGGTGCCCAGGGAGTGAGCCAAGAGTGCTGGGCAGCCTGGGAGTGCTAGGAGGGATTTATGCTGGCTCTCTTTTGTCCCTTTCTTGGAACAGCACCCCTGGGGCCTTGGTAACAACTTGAAAACAGGCTGAGTCCTCAAGAGGATGGCCATTCCAGGAAGCCGAGAGTGGGAGCCCCGCTGGTGGAGATGCCAGGCATCAGGCCACGGAGGTAAGCGCATGATCAGCGCCGTCCTGCGGGCTCTTGCCTTGGAAGGGAAGCTGCGGTAGAGCGGAGCCTGCAGCGGGGATTTCACGAGGCCACAGGTCGGGCGGGCACCCCAGATGCTAGGAAGGGAGCTTCTTTCCTAGAAGGGTCCGTGAGTGGCACGGCTGTGCAAGGATTGCACTTCCTCCAGGATGCATCTGCGCATGCCCATTAACCACGTCTCCATGGAGTCCTGCAGTGTCCCGTTGGCGTGCATGGAATAGCGGACTCCATGTTTTCCCAAGGCCGTTTCCATGTATCATTTCAGCCAAGTCGGCTCTCAGCTCTACAGGCATGGTCCTGCCCATGTTTCACATGAGGAAGCTGACTCCTGAGAGGTCAAGAAGCCTGGCCCAGAAGCACACAGCTAGTTGGGTCCAGGGGCTCAGAGCCAAGCCCAGGGCTTGCATGATCTGGGTTGGCTGGAGAGAAATGTGACAACTGAAGTTCTCCGTATTTCTGTTTTCAAGCAATCTAGCGGTTTGCCACCAGCTTTCATGGCTGTGTGACCCATTCTTCTCCTGTCTCTAGGTGTTGTGGGTGGAGAATGGGGATGTAGGGTAAAGGAAATGGGGGAGATTGTGCTGTGCAGATGTGGCTGTGTCTGTGTTTCTCTGTGCTGTGGTGAGTGTGTCTGTGTGTCTGTGTGCCTGTGTCTGTGGATGCACACGTTTGCTGGACCCTGGCAGGAACTGGAGTCTCCCTCATGCCTTAGGCATGTGCTGAGGGACAGTGATGGAACCTTCTGATTGTCTTCAGTGTCATAGTTCCTTCCAAGGGATGATTAGTGCACAGGTGTCTTATAAAGCCCATTCTTACGTCAGTTCTCCGTGCTGCCTAGTTCCTTCCAGAATGCGAACAGGAGTCGCCAATGCAACAGCTGTGCACCCTGTCACCCAGAGGGTCTTCCATACAGCAGAGTGGGGCTTCTCCTTGTCACCTGGGGATGGCAGTTTCAGCCAGTGCCCTCACTACCCACTCTGGTCTCCCTCCTGTCCTCTTCTTATTCAGAGGAGCACAGTGTTCTGGAAGGCAAAGGACCTCCTCAGTGCCCCCCACTCAGCTTCTGAGCTGACTCAGATGACAGACTGTGGCTTCAGGGCAGCATCCCTGGGGTCCAGGGCACCTACCACCCGGGAGCCAGTGGTTAGCACTGAGGACCATTGTTCCTTCACCTGTAAAACCAGGGTCAGGGTGTCCCCTGGGGGGTGAAGTGTGACTGCAGTGGGGATTACAGCAGGCCCTGCACCTGGGTTGTCATTAAGGAAGGAGACCTGGGCAGCCATCGGCACCTCCCAGGAGGCAGAGGCCCCTCCGCCACCCCTCTGCCTCTACCCTGCCTTCCTTCTGGTTGTGGGAAGCCTTCAGGCCCATCAGAGTCTCCTCCGTTCTGCCTCCACCTGCCCACCTGCCTTCACGGCCTCTGCCCCCTGAAGCTTCTCCCAGCCACCACCTGCCCAGCACCTCTGGAGTCGATGGCTGTCCTCTGTTTGGAAGCGTTGTGGTTTAGCAAGCGCCTCACTCTCAACAGTATGGTCTTCTGTGTGTTTGGGGGGCATTTGGAGGTATTAGGGGTGTCGTGTGTGCGTGCGTGTGTGTGTGTGTGTGTGTGTGTGTGTGTACTGGGGGCAGGTGTTGCAGCATATGTGTGTTTGTGTGTGTGTGTGGGGGGGGGTTATCCAGGTGTGCAGTGGCCTCTCCATCCTGAAAGAAGACAAGGGCTGCAGGTTGTCACCTGGTTCAGGTTGAACAGTGCTGCTTTCCAAGGTTCCCTAGCTGGGGATGAACTCCCCACAATTCCTTGAGCCATCCATGTGAATTGAGATCTGAAAGTCCTCCTGGAATCTAGGCCTTTATTACACAAAATCTTGCCCCAAGTCCAGAAGAGTGGACATCACTTGGGGGTTTCTTAGAAACACAGGGCCCCAGGCTCCAGTGATTAGGTTGCATTGTATGGCAGAGGTGACCACTCACTAGCCCAGGAACTGTGACCTGTCTTGTAGCCACCTGAAGAGAGACTCTTCCACAGGCTTTGAATAAGTAGGCTACCCACACAAGGGGACCTGGGGCCATTTTAGGAACCAGGTTGATCTCCAGCTGGAGACCAGCTAGAAACTAGGCTCTTCATCCTAAAACTCCAGGAAATGAATTTCTGCCAGCAATCTGAAGGAGCCCAGAAGAGGACCCTGAACCTCAGATGGGATTGCAGCCCCGATTTCAGCCAGATGGGACACCAGCAGAGAAGCCAGCTATGCTGTGCATGGACTTCTGACCTCCAGAAATCATGAAATAATAAATCTGTGTTCTTTTAAGCTGATAAATGTGTGATAATGTTTTGCTCAGCAATAAAAAACTAATGCATCTACTGGGGAGAAAATCATGGGTGCATTAGGCAAGCCCAGGGGGGTAGGTTTCCAGCGTTCAACCTTACAGCAAGTGTCTACATGAACAAACTATTAAATAGGTTCCCATTTAACTGCTTTACCCCAGGGGCAACTCAAATTTAACTGCTTTTCAGAACAACGTGAATTCCTGAGCATCCAATCCTACAGACTGGGGCTTAGACAAGGAAGATTTCCCACTCCGGAGGCTGGTCAGTGGGTCTCTGAGATGGGGTAGGCAGCCATCCCTCTAGGAAAAGGTAGAGATGAGTGTTGGTTTCCCTTTAAAAATTTGGATTTATAAAAAGGATTAATGACAGCCCATTGGTAAGGGTGACGGGAATCAGCACTCCCATACATTGCTAATATGAGTATAAATTGGATCAGCTTTTCAGAGGATGATTTGGCAAGATCTATTACATTGCAAAATACACGTATCCTTTAATCCAGCAAAACTCCTTTTAAGAATGAACTCTACAGAATATTAGCACAGGGCCAAATTATATATGTAGAGGATACTCATTACGGCATTGTTTGCAGTAGGAAAAAATTAGCAATGCCCATTAATAAGTGATTAGTTAAATACATCGTGGTTCATTCATATTTGAAAACTGTTCTGTCGTTGGAAAAATGAGACTCATTTATATGTGGTGGCATTTCTATGTTGTGTCTGTGATATAGTGTTTAGGGAGAGAAGCAAGTTGCCCGGTGCGACGCACAGTGTATCATTTTTGTTAAAAGTAATTACATATTTATATATTAAAATATGCATAGAAAGAATGGAAAAACGTAAACCAAATTTTTAGGTACAGTTATTTCTTGAATTATGGGGAGTTCTCTGTTCTATATATACTTCTGGATTATGTTGTGTGAAGGAAGCTTTCTATATTCTGTATTTCTGTGTTGTTAGAAAAAAAATTTACTATGCACATTTGTTAATTTTATAATAAAACAAAACAATAAATACATTTTTTAAAAAATCAGATGAAACACCCCAAGATCCTTCATCTGCGGTGGATGGAAAGGGTGCGTACTTACCAGGCTCCGGCTCAGATCTCAGACAGGTCTCCACAGGTCTGCGGGCTGTCAGCTGAGACTGGGTTCTCTTCAAAGGGCCCATGTGTCATGCAGAATTTATTGTACCCAAAGAGAAGTCTGGCCTTTGTCCTCAGCTTCTGGGAAGTGATCACGAGGCACTCGGAATGGCTGGCCTATTGGGAGTATCTTCTCTTGCCTGGGGGCTCTGGCCACCAGAGTGGGATTCATGATGGGGGACCTGGGTCACGTGGCATCAGGGCTACCTCCAGAAGGACTGGACACTAAACATCAGTCACCTGGGCAGTATGTAGCAGAGTAGAGCACCCATAAAACTGGACCCCAAAGGCTCAGGGAGGCTTCCCTGACTGACAGTGCCCCATGTGTATTGTCACATATCCATGGCAGAAATGGAACATTGTCCTGACTTGTGGGGAATCTTTTCCTCCCTGAGTTGTTCCCATTCAAATGTGTTCCTCTGTTCAAGTCACCTTTCTTGGTTCTTGTCCCTGTCTGCACCCTTGACACTGATGTTGTTTCCAGAACTCCTAGAGCGAGGGGGTCAAGGTGTATGGGGGGTGAGATCTAAGCGGGTCCTCACTTCCAGCCTTTGCTGCTATGTGACCCTGCAGTGGGCAGCTGCTTGTTGTTTGTGTTCCCAGGGCCTCATTGCTTCCCTCTAGTCCTGGCCCTGATCCCCAATAGCTCAGTCTCCTTTCCCTTCCCTCCTCTCCCCCTTGATCTGCAGGGCTTTCTGCCATAGTCACCTCTTGCCTTTTGAAAAAGGCTCCATCACGCCGTGCCCTGCCAGGCTTCCTCCAGTGCACAAAGCTTCTTCCAGCTTTGGGGGCTTCAAACGTGTTATCCCTCTGCCTGGAACATTGCCCGATTCCCATTGAACTTCCATCCTCATGTCTAACTATGCCCCAGCACTCTGGTCTCAGCTTCCATAGGCCCACTGAAGGGAAATGTGTCCCCATTCCCAAAGTCACATGCCCTGTCACACTCTGCAGAACACTGCACCCAACCTTTGCAGCACATGTCACAATTGCAGCTGATTATTTGTGCAATAATTTGGTTCTTGGGCACCGGGCTCTATGTCATACAAAGCTGAGTGTACCTGTCAAGAGTCCAGGCGGAAAACAGATGGTGTATTCTAGTGGGGCCATTGATTTTGAGAGACTGAGGCATCCAAAGGGAGCCAGAGTGTGGAGCCATTTCTTCCTCTGAGCCATTTCTTCCTTTTGCTGGGCAAAAGAGGGGTTGCAGAATCTGGAGAGAGTTGTGACTATCCCAGGAGAAACCGAGGCTGTAACCTTGGGCAGAGGAATTCGGACCCTGACAGCCTACAGACAGGAGGGTGGAAACTGGGGGGATAAATGTCTCAGCCTCTGCCTCCTGTTGGCCAAGCCCAGCTGCATGTGAGCTTGCAGGAAGCCCAGGGGATGGTGTCCATGCAGGTCAGCCTGCAGGACAAGGAAGGGCAGGGCAGAGAGCAGGGCAGGGCAACTGAAGAGGTCATTTGAGGTATCCCGCATAGCAGAGACTCTGTCTACCTTGCCCACCCCCAGACCACCAGCGGGGGCCCACTTCCTAGCCTGGAGTATGTACATGGGAAAATTGATGTCAAAAGAAGAAATGAATCCTTCCCTGGCTGCCAGAGATTGATCATCCCCCCAAAACTCATGTTGGGATGTAATTGCCATCATAATAGCATAAGAGATGGAAATTTAAGAGGTCATTAGGCCACAAGGGTTCTGCCCTCGAAATGGATTATGTTGTAATTGCTCCAGCGAGTTCCTGATAAAAAGGATGAGTTTGGCCAGATTTCCTTTCTCTGTCTCGTGCGGCTAATTTCTGTCCTTCTGCCACGTTCTGATGCAGAAAGAAGGTCCTCTCCAGATGCGGCCCCTTGAATTTGGACTTACCAGCCTTTAGAAGCGTGAGCTTCATAAACCTCCACTGCTCATCCCTTGCCCAATCCATGGTATCCTACTACACAGCAGGAAGCCGACTCAAGAACTCACCCACAACCCAGGGAGACTGAGATCACACGAGATTGGTAGCATGAAAGTATTCTGTGAAGTGTGAAGCAATAAACAGAGAGGAAAATTATCATTCTTATTCGGATTCTTCTTCCTACTGCCAGGTTAGTCTCTTAAAAGATACTGGAAGGCACCAATGGGCTCCTTCGATGACTTGGCTGGCCAGAGCACAGCTTCCCTGCGAGGGTCCTGTTGGCCTGAGAACCTGACATAATGTTCTCTTTAGAATGGGAATCCTCCCTCTGTCCAGGGTGTGTTCTTGGGGAGAAAAACATCCTTGACACAAAAGCACTTTATTTTTTTTCCTACTATGTTAAAAATAAAATAATGACATTTTCTCTTTTTTTGTTGTTAGCAAAATGCTCCCTGTCAAACCTGGGAATTAAAGGTTGATTGCAACTTTATTAAAATACATGAGATAAATAAAAGAGTCGTGATCTCCAGGCTGCTGACAAGCCACCGCCTCCCTGTAGATGTTTTGGTTTTGTATTAAGAAAGTTGTCACAAGTAATTTGGACTGGAGCATGTAGTTATAGACGCCAAATGTTGATTAATTAAGCCGATGTTTGGATTAGTTCTGCCCGATAGTTTCATTAGGGAAAATAACTGAAAATGTAGAATAAAGTATCAAGGGGGAAGGAGAAGTATCATTCCATGAGCAAGACCTAGACCAGGAAGCCCACCCTGCATTCCTTATAAGTGCGCGCGCGCGTGGTGTGTGTGTGTGTGTGTGTGTGTGTGTGTGCGTGTTTGAGTACCCCAGTAATGGAAGGGTCCGTGGCTGTAAGGATGAATCGTGGTGAATGTGAATTTCACCCCCTGCAATCAGCTCCTTTTCTGACCTCACCTTTGGCATGACATCTCTGTCTGTACATGACTTTCCCAAGTAAAATTTCTAAATGATCCTTGAGCCTTGGACCTAGGAGTCAGAGGATTTCCAGCCACTGTGGTAGGCCATTCATGGGAAACTGAAAATAACCAGGGAAAGCCTAAGAGGAAAAACTAGGGGTTTGGGTTCTGGAAAAAAAAAAAATTCTGAGACAGAGTCCCAGGGAGGGAGGAAGATACTTTTTCCACCTCAAGGGAGTTGACATTGATGGAAACTTGGATCTACCTCAAATGTCATGTGCTTTGAAAATTGGTATATTTGCTAATATTAACCCAAATAGTGAAAGGTTTAGGCATTTTTTAGGAGTTTGTCTGAATGAACATAGATTTTCATCCTCATAAATCCATTTGTGCAAATGTTACTGTTCCAGCCTTGAGCTGTTCAACTCACAAGAGGGACAAGAAGCACGTTCTCACTCTTAAAAGACTTACAATCAATACAGGAAGGTGAGCTCCCTGTGTTACATCTCCCTAGTCCCATCTGCCCCATAGCTAATGTGCGCCTCATGTCCAAATATGTTGTTCTTTTTTTTTTTTTCAATTCCTAAATCTTGTTCTCTCTCACAGCCAGGACCTTTCCCATTCTGTTTCTGCTATCTGGAACATTTTTCTTCTAATTCCACCATCTAGTCATCCAATTCCCTCAGAGAATTCAACTTATCCTCCAGGTATCATCTTAACCTAATTGTCATTCCTTCCAGGAAGTCTTCACGGATCACGGACACCCAGACCACATAAGAAATCCTCACGACGTGCTCCGGAGCATCCCATGATTCCCCAGTTTCAGGAGTTCGCATGTCACAGTGTTCCTGCTTACTGAATTGTCTTCCCCTCTGTGCCATGAACACTGGGAAGAGAAAGTATTTGTCTGGTTTTCAATATCATCAGCACTCCGTGCCACTTGGAATGGGACTAATTGGTAGAGAGAACAGAAGGAAGGATCTGGATGATGTCTGCCAGCGCAAGCAGTGGGGACCCAGCAGGCGCCTCGCGCTCTGAACACCCACTCTGTAAACAGGGACTGATGGATCTGACAGCCAGCCGGCACCTTGATGTCTGGGAGCCATGTCCAGGCTGGTCTAGTTGGCCAAGTAGGTGACCTTTTGCTGCTCCAAGTGACGCAGCTTGCTGGACCAGACAGAATGAGATGTCAAGGAGTGGTCTCTTGAAACCAAAGAGGTGGGTAAAGGGGAATGACTCAAACTCATCCCTCTCTACCTCTAACAGCTTCTAGGGCCCCAAATGCAGAGCGCCTTGGTCAACTGCCAACACCAGAAGAGAAGTGTCATTAAGTCAGACACCAGTGAATACATATGTTGGTGCCTGATAACCACCAGTGGCCAGATGAACAAATCTGCTCTGGCCTGAAGAGAATCGACAACGGCTCTGAGATGATGGGAAGATAGGTAGATGATAGATAGATAGATAGATAGATAGATAGATAGATAGATAGATAGATAGATAGGTAGATAGATAGATAGATAGAAAGAACATGTTATAAGTTAAAAAGAACTGTAATACTTATTAATGGGCTGTGGGAAATTAGCCAATTTATTGGCTATAAAACTTGAACTTCGATCTCAAAAAAAGACCAATCTCCTACCATCTCTCCCCACTTTTACAATTATTTTCATTTTTCCCATCCCAGAGGCCCGCGGGGACCCCTCTTTGGAGCCTTCACATGAGGGAGATGGAACCCTTTTCCTTCAGAGTGGCTCTGCCCCATCTTACCTGTCCTCACTTCCCCCTGGACCTGTCCTTCCTCAGATTCTAACAAGCACCGCTCTTCCCTCAGTCCCCCAGTGAAGTCCCCTAAGCTGGCTCATTCCTGTCCCAGAGGATGATTTTCTACAGAGGCCTGGAGGGGTCAGGGTGGTAGGGACTGCAGCTTCCACACAGCATCGCCAGCTTTGAATGTATTCCGAGAATCACACCCACCACCTGCTGCACATCCTCCTCCACAGCCCCTCAGAAACCCCACCTGCCTCTACAGCCTCAATCAAGAAAAAAAAAAAAAGAAAACTTCAAAAACAGTTGATAGAACAGAAAATTCTGATTTAAAAAACAAGATATAACAAAAGTAGCAAACATTATAAACTGCCTGCAAGTCTGAGGCCAGACACAAAGCTCACAAAAATAACTCAGGCAGAAACCCAGCCCCCTGCCCTACTCTCCTTTGAACTTGTCTCTTCTGTAAGATGACAAAGCAAATCCTGCTCCCTCCTTTTCTCTGAATTATTTTCCTTCTCCTTTATACAAACCTAATGCAACTGCTTAGCATGCCTTGAGGCAAGTAAGTGTACCCTTTTGGTACCAGTGATCTAGGCTGAGTCCACCTGTGGGTGAGCAGAGAGCCATGGCTGGATTGGTGTGGTTGATGAGTATACCGTAAACCAACCCCTGGAGCCTGCACTTCAAAAGGCAAATGCAAGCCTGGCTTTCTCCCCACTCCATGGAGAGGCTTCTGAGTCCTGAAAGAGGGTGATGGATGTCCATCCATAAGAGGTCAAATGTGCTTACGTTTCTGTGACAATACAGGATAAAGACTGCGTGTGGCTTCAGAGTCCTGGGTTCAAACTTAGACTCCCTTACTTGCAATGTGGCTGTCTTAGGTTGCAATCCCTGGAAATAGAACTTGATTCAAGGATTTGAGGGCTGTATGGGGTGACCCAGCCTTAGCACCGCCCTTACCCAGGAGCCACATATTTTCAGGGGGGAAAAAAAAAAGAGTAAGCAGACCTAGATCTGTCCACCAGGTGACACGCCAGCTGCGTGGTCTCAGGGATGCTACTTGCTCTCTGAGCTTCAGTGTCCTTGTTTCTAGTCCTACAATTATCCATCCAGACTTCCCACAAGTATGGTGAGGGGCAATTTAAGGAGGTGATCTAGGCGGATATGCAGAGCCTGGGGCCAGAAGAAGGAAGAGCAGCCTGTCTTCCCTCCCTACCCCTTGGGTTCAGAGCACTACAGGCTGATGGCTGACCTTCAGCTGCCAGGTTGATTTGTGACCTTCAAGAACAAGGACCTGGGTCACTAATGCCTAGAACTCTCTTTCTGTCTGTGATGCCAACACGTGGTCCTAAGTCAAGCAGAAGCCAGCCAACTTGGTGAGCAGAGGTAGGTGGGTGCCCTGGGGAGGTCCTCGTGCATGCTGGGTAGGTTTTCTTGCACCATCCTGCCAGGACCAAAGCATCAGTCTCTGCCGGGAAGTTGAAATCAGCTCTGCTGCATTTGTGATTCATTAGCAGGAAACGACAGCTTAATCAAGGGAAAAGACTCAGAAAGGAATGGCCTCCCTCTCTCCCTTTCTTCTACATACACACACACACACATACACACACACACACACACACACACCTCACAGGGAAGATGGAAGGAAAGGGAGTGACAAATGCAACAGGCACAGAAAGAAAAAAATAGAGATGAGAGAGAGGAGGGGGGCTCTCTGTAAGGAGGCTCAGCAAGACAGAGGTAGGGAAGGATGTGAGGAGGTGTGAGACCATCCCAGGGAGAGGGTGGGAGAGGCCCCCAGCTGTGTCGAAGACATGGGCAGCCATCAAGCGATTACGTTCATGCTGTAATTTTCACATCTTAAAAGACTGTGATGCATGGTCGGTCCACATGCGCACACGCGCATCTCAGGGTGAGCGGGTACTCGAGAGTGTCACAGGCACAGAAGCAGCAGAGTGCAGAGGAGGGAGGCAGGTGGGCCGGGAGCAAGGCAGGGGCTGTTGAGGGAGCTCACTATCCCAAGTAGAGCCCCGCAAGCTTCTCCAGAGACGCTCTACCAATACCTGCTGAATGGATGTCAAATGGTGCGACCCAGGCCCTTCCCAAGAGGGTGGGTCACAGGTGGGCGGAGAAGGCAGACTCAGCCCACCACCCACTTCTCACTCTGCAGCCCTCCCTGCCAGCCAATCACTAGGGAGAAAAGGCCATGTGCTAGCCTGAGACAGGCCTGGACCTCTAGCTGTGTTCAGATCCTTGCCCCCTGTGGGGCCAAAGGCACCCTCATCTACCATTCACCCCCAGTGCCCAGCACAGGCACTGCCTATACATACTGTTAAACACATGGACTGCACAGTCCCACCTGCCACGTGTCCAGCACCCAGAAGAGGGCTGCAAGCATAGTCCAGGCGCCTCGTGCTCCACCCCATTCAGCCTTCCCAGCCATTCTCAGGAGGGGCGGAGCTACGAGGTGGCCATTCTGCCAGGGTAGAAACAGGTTCTCGTGATGCCAGGCGTGCCTGAGGCCTGGACCTGGAATGCTGACATGAAGGATGGGTGATGTCACACCCATCAGTGATAGCGATTCGGTCCTGTTTCAGTCCTGATAATTGTCCCAACCCGCGTCACCTCCTTTCATCCCAGGTGGCCTCCAGGACACCACAGACCCCAGAATTTCTCTATCACAGCATGAGACTGTGAGCCATCCCTTGTCCATCTCCCTCCAGCCCAGCCAGTCATCCCAGATCACCAGAGCCAAGTCATCCAAGCTGTCCCTGCTGGCCACCTGGGGCTGAGGCACTGATGATCCGATGTGTGCTGTGAGTCCCATCCCACAGGCTTTCATTCCTGGAAAGGTACAGCCTGTGGGCGCGGAGAGCCAGAGCAGAGTCTTGCAGGGACCTGCCACATGCACCCCATTCCCAGCCCTGTCCCCAGCAGCTGGGGACTGACACCCCAGCCATCAGCTGAATCATCTCCCCCACACCAAACCACCTACAGGCCCTTCCTCACTCGCTGTGTCCAGAATGGGTTGTCCTAAAATGTCCCATTGACCCCTCTATCAGAGGCCTCCTGCCACCTGGGCTGAGCCCAAAGAATAGCCGTATCCTTTCCAACTCAAGGCCATTCTCTCCGGCTCAACTTGTCTGTTCTGATTCCTGAAAATACAGGTTCTGATGCTGAGAGGCTGTACCAAGCACGTCACTCATCCACTCAGTTTCTCATCTTTAAAATGGATTCATCGTCACCATAACCATCTCATGGGGTGGTTGCAAGAACCAATGAGATTCAGTCCATAAGTAGCCTCCTGGGGGCCAAGGTTTGACACTGGGTGGAAGTCCAAGTTGTGCTAAACCAAAAACCATTTTGGGGACCAAGCCTTGAATAAATTAGTTTTGGGGAGATATTTTAGGTCCAAACCCTAACAGAACCCGATCAGCCCACACAGTCCATTCCTCCAGAGCGAGGCAGGAGCCCTGGGCTTGGGCTGGCCCACAGAGGGGCCCTTGGTGTGATCTTGGGTGAATCGTACTAATTATTTGAACCCCAATTTCCTAGACGATACACTGGGATGACGGTACCTACTACACAGTCTGAACAGGACCCCGGCTGACGCACAGATTCTCATTGCTCATTTCCATATAATTTCAGGAGGTGAACGTGCTCAGAAGTGTCTCTGTGTTGTGTCTTCACTTTTCCTAGTGACTCACTGAGCCTGACTCAGCACAAATGTGAAAACCTTGCTCCTTCTCCAAATTGGCTAATGGGAACAGTGCACCTTCCTTTGACACCCTGGACACTGTTTGCTTGTTTGCAAAGCAAGGAGGGGACTCCAAGTGGTTTCTAGAGGCGCCATCATCCATCCATTCATGGTCGTTTGTTTACCCCCTCTGAGGGCCTGCAGAGCACTGGAGCAGAGAATGAGCCCCAAACCACCTTTGCTCTCAAGGTGCTTGGTGTCCATTCAGGGGAGAGAGGCAGGGATCTCCAGGGTGCTGTGGGATCTGAGGACCGAGCACACCAGCTTCACCATGCTCATGGACAGTGAACGTTCTGCAAAGGAAGAATAAGCACCTCAGAGCCAGGAACGGTGGCACATGCCTGTGATCCCAGCTACTTGGGAGGCTGAGGCAGGAGGATCACAAGTTTGAGGCCAGACTGGGCAATTTAATGAGATCCAGTCCCAAAATAAAAATAAATAGGCATAGGAGTGTAGTTCAGTGATAGAGCCCTTCTGGGTCTAGTCCCCAGTACTGCAAGAGTAAAATAAAAAATAAAAACCTCAGGCTCCTTGGGGATGGCGGGTGATGGGAAGGACCTCCTGACCCACACCGACCCCTTGCATCCTAATAACATAAGGGTTATTTCTCTTCTTCTGGAAAAGAGTCCATAATGGCTCCAAGAGTCCTTTTCTAAGGACAAAGCCCTGGAACTTCCCTGGATATGACCAACATCTCGTGACCTGGGAGCCCATTGCTGGTGTGAATCTGTCGATTCTGTTCAGAAAGCTAACCTTCCCACTTGGTAAGATCAGGCTAAAAAGTAAATGGAAAAGGGGGTTATGGGGGCCACTGAAGTGACATGAAGTAGGGGTTCAAGGAGAAAAGGCACCTGGAACTTTTTAAGGCATCCTCGGACACCTCTCACTTCAGGAACCCAACCGAGGCTGGAACATCAGAACAGCTCCTCTATTGGCTTCCCCAAAAGGACCTTCCTTGGAGCAAGGGCCCCTTCTGCCTTCCTGCGCTGAAACCCTGCTGTCCACAAAGAACAAGGCAAGGGCTCCAGGGGCCAGGTGAGCTGGCAGGACCCGGCCCAGAGGCAGAGACATCAGCAGGCTTGCTTTTAATTGTCCTCCAATTTGCAGGCACAGACAGTCCCAGCTGAGAATGAGCAGGCACATTAGAGGGAAAAGACTATGTTCTCTAAATAAGAAGGGGACGACCCTGTTTTCTATTTCTGACAAATGGCGCCACAAGATCAAGCAAGACTCATGATTTCAGGAAGAAGGAGGTCTACACCAGTTACTCCACACATCCTGCCGTGCACCCACGGTGTGCCAGGCACCCGACTGAGCACTGCAGTGCTTGGCATAATGCAGTTATGCCTTTCCCCACACCTCTGCCAAGTACAAGGGATAGAGACACAAGGACATGATCCTTGCCTTTGAAGAGTTCATAGTCTAGTTCACTTGTTCAATTAGCACTGAGTACCAACCACCACTGATTTGCAGGTGAATGAAGACAGTCACTACCTTCAAGGAAGCCAGCTTCTCCTAACACTGCCTGAAATGCCCTTGCTGAGTTCTTAGGTAGAATCTTGGCATCTTGAAAGCAAGAAGTCATCTAGCCC